CTTCCTCGTCTCGACGAAGTGGCATTCTCAGCAGAGCTCATGGCTCTTTGGCCAGGAACAGCGGTCGTTGAAGATCGCCTTGAACTTTTGTCAATAATCGAAGAGGATCTTCGTGATTCAGCTGTCGCAGCTTGAATGGAGCGTATGGAGCCTGTCGATCCTCGTCGAGCCGCTTCTTCGGGGGAAATGGTCTTAATGGCACTCAGAGGTATCTTTATAGCGGGCTTGCTAGGCCCTCCAGACAAAGGACTTGGGCTCGGATCGACGGTGAAACCAGATGACAGGTAACCAAGATTCATACTCTTGCTTTTCCTTTTTCTCTGTCGCTCTTCATCGATCTTGCTCTCCCAAACACCCTTATTGATCAGGATCTCGTCGACAGCAAAGCGCATCGCCGGTAAGATGTCCGTGACGGCTTCGAAGAGCGGCCGGGCGAAGATGTTCATGAAACCAATCTGGGATTCGCCAAGTTTGATGACGTCTTCCCGAACAGGTGGGCCACCAAACAGACATGATGGCATAGCCAGCTCCTCTTCCATGAGTCCTTGGTTGCTAAATTCGTCTGTCAGGATGTTGGCCCACCTGGCAGCGGTGTCAAATTTGCGAGCCTAAAGAATGTCAGCTTGCAGTGCGCCAGAAAGACAAGAACTCAAAACATACCACGTTGCAGATATCTGCGCACTTGATGAGCAGTCCACATGTCAGGTCCTTTTGTTCTTCCTGTACTTTGGCACTCCATCCGTCGACCACGCCCTTGTCATGGGCAACCTTCTGCTGCAGGTTACCCAGGTCGCTCATGTACTTGAAATGGAGGCCCATGTCTGTCGCAAGTATATTGTTGATCATGAGCTTGCGCATCGCAGCATCATTGAATGCGCTCGGCCAATAACGGCGTAATATTTGGGAGTAAGCAGCGCAGTGGAATGATTCTAGGACGGATCGATCGTTGTACAATTGCGCTAGCGGTGCGTTCAATGCGACTAGAAAAGCGTTGTTGACTCCTGGATGGCCAACATCATGTCCAATGGCGGATATCAGAAGGGTAAGCGCGTCAAAGGGCTTGAGGAGCTCAGCGATTGGCGATTTCGGGGTGGACGTGTTGGACGAATCCGAAGGATAAGGAGGCAGGGTGCCGATTCGGACGAGGAAGTGGAAGAGAGCCTGGAGCACGTCGACAACGTGACGGAAGTTGTGGTACTTGACGAACTCGTTGTAGGCAGTACGGCTGGCCAAGAGAAAGACGATCATCTCGTCTACGAATCGGTCAGCAAGTAGCAGGTTTCTGGCATAAGCCGCACTTGCCTTCGGTTATCGCCCATCTTTCTAATTCGGGCATTTGTAGTGCATGCTTGAGCATGACGAAAGCGCCATAGAGAAGCTCGTCATCGGTGTAGTCGTGCGCGGAGAAGGCCCAAGTACCGATGGCAGCTTCAACGACGATTTGGCGATCTACGTCGAGATGGAAATCCCTACTCAAGTCAGTGGCGGGTCGCATAGTCACCGTTTGTACATACGTAGATTCAAGCGAGTCGCCTACTGTCTCCGGATTACAGATACCAGTCATGAGATTCGACACCATCGCCTCGCGCAGATATGCGTAAGGTTTTGTGTCGTCTACTCCGACCCAAGACAGCTTCCGATTGCGCTTAGTAGTCAGAAAGCTTGCTTCTTCTCGAGAGAACTCTTTCTGTAACCGATAGGCATGGACGGCTAAGCCAAGCATGCGATCCCTTGACATTGGACTCGTCAGGACGTCAACAGCGCCGGCATCCAGGTATCGCGTCAACCGAACAGTGTCGCCGAGTGAGAAAGACACTTGTAGTCCCGGCGAGGGCAACGGACCAGCTGAGGACGGCTCTTCAGTGCCCAGACCCGACAACATGACGACAGGTACGACGAGTTTGGAGAAGTTTCGCGACGAGATCTCGGAGGATATGTGGGTGAGTAGGTGCATGGCGTATATATCGTCGGGTTCGCTCGTATCTAAACGTGTGAGGCGCGAGGATGTAGGCGAGGGCGTGCGCGGCTCGCGGGAAAGGCGCTTCATGCGCTGTTCTTCGTCGTATGGGATATCTATTATGACGAACGTAGGAATGCTGGCTTTGGTACACTCGACGAGCTGGGTGATCTTCTGTAGGCAGGCCCTGCCGGTGCTGCAGATGTGTACTACGAAGTGTGTTAGTAAAGGCGTGGGCGCGGGAAGAGGACGGACTACCTTCGTTGGAAATGGACAGCATCGCCTCGACATTGTCGTGCACTTCGCGCGGCGACGTCTTGCCGATAGCAAAGTAGCTCTGTCCTACATTGCCAGTCGTGGTTCGCGCGACGAGCGACTTGGACAGCGTCTCCTTCCGCACGTGCTCGTCGTTGGCCCGCCGGTCAATGTAGACAACATTGCACGCGCCATGTTCCATTGTCTCCGCCTATGTGCGGCGACCAGACAGCACTGGTCTCCAGCGCAGAGGGGAGGTTGTTGGGGAGGTGTCGCAAAATGGGGAGGACGGGTGGTCGCAGAGAGACGTCTGAACGGGTCGGACAGCGTCACGGGAGAGTGCGAGGCGGAAGCGTGGTGGATGGGGTGCAGCCGAGGGCCAATTGGCGGTCGTGAGCGCAGTGGCAGTGGACACAGGAGAGCAGCGGACAGAGTCGAGCGTCCAGAAGCGTGGGGGAGCGCAGAGATGGGACGGCGGGAGTGCGCCGGTTGGTCTGAGATGCACTCTGAAACGACGACGTCGGTGGAAGCCCCAGGGAACCCGGCGAGGCGGCGAGCGGCAGCCAGTGCACACGACACTAGAGTGCAGTGTTTATTGTATACGAGGAAAGCGCAACGGGTGGATGCGACGAGGAAGGCGGGAAGCGACGTGGGAGGGCAGGCGCGACGGCGGGCGGGTGCTGGGCGCGGCTGCCTCTTGGTGTCTCTCACTCGGCGCGCGCGCAGCGGGACGTGTCGAGACTCGAGCAGCGCAGCGGGCGTCCTCAGGCGATGGCTCGCAGCGTGTTTGGGGAGCGTCTTGAGCGTCTTCAGGGCGCGGGTGAGGGTTGTAGAAGCATGCAGGGGCTCTAGCGGTCCTCGGTGTGTCGCATGAGCGGCACTGCTATGGGCTGCACGCTGAGCAGCATCGGGCGCACACGGTCGAGGGCAGTGAGGGCGTGGACGAGACGGGCAGAAGTCGGCTATAGGAATCGAGCGTGGTGTGGTGGAGGAGAGCAGCGGGCCTGGTCTGGCTGATTGGATCTGGGATACTCGACAAAAAGAGGCAGGCGCACTGGTGGATCCAGCCTATCCATCCACGAACCGCCCGGCTCGAAGCCCCCAAGCCTTCTGGAAGCTTTCGCGCCGTCACAGCCAAATGCTATACGAGCGCTCCGCTGCGTCAACGTCAGCCCTGCACCTGCGCTTGGCCTAGGGCGCGCTTTCATTTGCCTCCCAACGTGATCAAAGTGCCAACGTCGCCGCGCCCGCCCACTAGCTGTCGCTGCGTGAAGTGCGAACCCAGAGAGCCAAGCTCACTCTGAAACGCTTCCCCAGGGGCGGCCCAGTTCCCGCCTGCGCTGCACTGATTACATACAGCACGCCCGCCCCAGCCAACTCAACCTGCTACTCGCTGTGCGCTGGCATCGCACGCCCGTCTGAATGGCTGCAGCATGCATCGCACGCCCCCCGCTGTTGCCACACAGCGTCGTCATCTGCCCGAGCAACCCCATCACGGCCCCATGCAGAAATATTCTGGAAACCGAAAGTGGCGACTCGCTGTCACGCCCTGCTGCTACTTGCCGATGCCTCGGGCACGCTATCCACGTAAGCAGCCTGGTCCGTGACCACCTCGCAGCCTTGCTCGCTCCATACACTGGATTCAGCAAGGAGCTGCCTTGACCCTGCCGAACAAACACACGATAAGGCCGTGAGGCTGCTGATCTAATTCTTGGTCAGCGGAATCCGGGGTCGTCGCCCACACGGCAGTGGCCTGCAAGTACATGACAAGTACTGACAAGCTCTGCCTGCACGACTCAGTCCGATCCCGGCGCAACTCTGATAGGCAGCTAACCTCCACAAATAGGACGGTTCTTTATAGCCTGCGGGCGTGCAGATGACTGCAAGCGGCGCCTTCGTCTGTGTTGGTACATCGCACGACCCTGCAAATACACGGCACGCATAGTACTACAAAGACCGTTCGCCATTGAGATCCACCAACGGCCCTTTAAGCCACAGACTACGGTCGACTATGTTTGAGATAGGAGAACCAACCCATTCAGCTGACATGCCACCAGGCGCCGGTTGCGCGTTGGACATGTTGACGTCCAATCGAACAATTCCGAGTCAGTTACATGTACCAAACACATGGTTCACTATCTCTGCCATGGCGCCGTCTATCTCGTCTACATCTTACACTGCACTCATACAGAGGTAAGGTGTGAATTGCGATCGCCACAGGTGCATCGTGAAGCTCCCAGTTTCCTTCCCACAATGGCTCACCAGATATGAATTTACCTGGGCATGGCTTTCGTGGTGACTGCATGGTGCCACGAGTATGTCCTTTTGCTCACTCATCACGTGGGTCAAGACCATATGTCTAGATAGCAACTTTCTCAGTACCGAAAGACGTCTTCAAATCCATGCCAACAGTCGGGCTGATACTCGGAACTCGCGACTCTAGTAACTGAAGGACTCTTTAGTATTGGGCTGCCGAAGGTCAAGACACCAAGACATTCTCGACCCTGAACTACCGTCTATCTTCGCATAGCCATCGACATTCATTGCATTCGGTACGATTCTGATGCCATTGTCACAGATAGGGAGGCGCAGTTATGTTGACCTCTCTGTTCGGGCCGCAGTTCGTCCGGCGTTCATGTGGGGAGCACTGGATTGCCGACATGTTCGGACTCCTGTGTCTTACCTCAGCGGGCACGTTTGCATGCTGGAAGTACTGCAACGTCGGTGGGATCAGAAAATGAATTCGACTGGCTTCATCCATGATAGATCATATTTCTCATTCCACACATTATATCGTGGCGGCGCTAACAACGTACTCATAATCCTTCCTCAACGGCACGATAACGCCCTGGTAGAACCTCTCCCTAAAGTCATCATTATCGAGACTAAACACCGAGGCCTCGAAATTGCAATGTATACACCTCTGCGTCGCATCCGCATAGTTCGGCAGTTCCCGCGTACGCAGCCCCTCCGCCAACCTAATTGCTATGAGATAGTCGGTGAATGCTGTACGGCTACCTGTTGCGTCGTCGAGATCCTCCTTGGTCACAAAGGTTTGCAGTGACTTACCGTACGAGATCTCTAGCAATGCGACGCCGAGAGCGAAGATGATGCTGTTCTTTATTATACGCATTCGTTGGCTGTGGGCCGGTGGTGCTGCCGCGGCGGGGAAGTCTCGGGATATGTATGGTTGATCGGATAGTACGGATTGGCTCAGCATGCAGATGTCGTTCAGGTCCCAAGTTTCTTCTAGCCACGGTGTGTTGTAGAGATGGTAGACAGCGGAGGCGAGTGTAAGAGCTAGGGTACACTTTTCCTTGATCTGGAAGCTCTGACTTTGCTTCTCAAGTAGCTGTTGCAGGCTCACGCGTTTGTCAGTGGTGCTAGCGTCTGGTAGTCTGAGAGTGTGGATGTGGTGTCTGGCCAGCTTGCTACTCATGACTCCCATGCAATGTGGGCTTGGGCAGTGTTGCAGTGTTGCGCAGAGATCGACGATATCTGGGGCCTTTTGAAGGCATTTCCAGTGGTCGTGTATTTTTGTGTTCGATTGGACGACGATGCTGGGAAGCAGTGAGGTGTTGCTTGGGGTTGTCGGGTCAATCACATCGATAGCCTCAATTTCTACCGGTATCGGCTTCCAGGAATTGACATGGCTAGCATGCGGTGATGCGAAGGTGAATACAAGCTTGAAGCTGGAAGGGCTGCCTGTTTCATCGTCTCTCTGTATGTCAAGCCGCAAATTTGCCTGATGTGTACATTGGCATTTACATCTCGTTGCCCACCGCGTGTTGAAAGCGTCGTATAGCTTCTCTGCCTGTTGTCGAAACTTCAGAAGATACTCGGTGTTGGCTTTGCGTCTTCTTTGAAGTCGTAGTGGCTCCAGCGCAATTGCTCCTGCAGTGAGGCTGGAAATGCGGCAGATGTCCTCTTCGATGGACGATAGCAGTTGCTTGTAGTGCTTCGTCTTGAGGCCTCCTTTTATACGTATCCAAGGATCGTTGAAGAATTTGTTCCGTGCTGCTGCATCAACATTTCCCGTTGGTGTAGTCCAAGGTGGCTGCGGCATCTTAGCAAGTGCTCCCATCTTTTCAGGATTTGCCCACCTGAAAGTTCTCGCATAGCTGCAACTTCCGCGCGAAGAGGTTGATTTTCTTGTTTAACTGCTTCACTGAAGACCTGAACGGTAGATAGTTGCTTCCTAATCGATTGCGCAGAGCATCGTTGAGGTCGGGATTCTCCCATGATGAGCTGTCATGATCTTCGAGTAGCTGACATACTTGAGCATCTGAAAGTGCCAATGGACTCAGAAGCTCTTCGCATGAGTTCCTGTATATGCAAGCGTTGGTTACAAAAGAAGCATGAAGCCACTCAAATGCTTCCTCGTACTTTTGCATACTTTTGATAGTTGAAAGCTGCAGTGTGTTAGTCATGATCTGCTTACTTCTCGCGTCTGATGTCATACGCCCTCAGCATAGTGCTCCAGAGCCACTATCACCAACGGCAGCGATCCCAAAACTACCCCAGCTACTTCGAACCCAGACATAGTTAGGGAGTTGCGAAGGCGCTAGTGGGATGAGCTGGCTGGTTCGGTGAAAAGACGGCAAAATAGTAGAATCTGTGGATGGAGACCGAGTAACGCAACAATGGCAGTTAATCACGGATGCGTTATATCGGTAGAAGAAGCTGAGTAGAGAAGGCTGCGACGAAGGTGCGGGCACGACGACCTCGGGATACTCAGCCTTGCGACTAGGCTCGAAGAGCTCTAGTCCCGAGGTCGTCAGCTGAACCACGTGGTGTCATGAACAACCTCGCGATCCTGGCGTCTCAGCCTTCTAATGGTGTCATCAACTTCAATTCTCATTTTGATCGGAGAGATGTCACTATACGAAGATGCATGAATCTGTCGCCCAAATCCACACTCATTGTGTCTCCATCTTCATTGCCTTTATCGGCGCACTCAGCTCTTCTTATCGCTGGGACGATCGAAATGCGACGCAAGATGCATTTGATAAGTACAGGCTTTGGGCTGGAAACGTGGGTGCCATGCACAGCGGTACTAGGTACGAGTCGTCTCTAGACTATAGGCTGAGAGAGTCTTCCTTCTACAAAGATCAGGTATCCCGCTTTCATCCCAAGTCTACACATGGAGGCTTACACAAGGCTTAGGTAGTGAGATTGATGCAGGATCTGCGTAGCTGTGTAAGACACTTTGCCCCTTCCCACTGTCACTCGTCATAGTCAATCCTCTCATGGACTAGGAACAATGGCTGATCGAACGCTCACGCATTAGCTGAACAAAGGTACCACAATTGCATTGTATGTGAATAAAAGAGATTGCTGATGGAAGCGTTGCTCAGCATCGAAAGCCGTTCGGATCGACAACATGGCGGCTCACGAATGCATAATCGAGAAATCCGAGCCTTCAGACACGGACGAAGATGAATCCGACTCGTCTGGTTCCCCATGGGAGGTCTCTTCCGACTCAGAAGTGGAGTATCCAAGCAAAGGGAAGCTGCCTCGACAGAAGCCAAATCGACCAGTCCCCGAACCAGTGAAGCCGACGTCAGTGGACCCTATTAATTTCATCATTGACTGTCTTTGGAGGCTACCCATTCGCAGTCCTGCCCCTATCGATCGCATGAAGAAGAAGTATATGGCTGAAGCGATTGCCTACTTACCCTTTGATATCATGTATGTCAGGGATAAGTTCCCCGACCTCAACGAGACCGTTACTACTCGTTTAGCGAAGATGATATCGAGAAGAAGGCAACTGATAAAGTACCGCAAAGATCACACTGCTTCCTTGAAAGAGAAAGAGGTGACAGTGATTGACACCTCTCAATCTGAGCATGGTCATCTATCCAGACCTACTGAAGGAGATATAGCTAGCGAGTCGGCACCCAGCTCCAAGGGCCCAAGCCAACGTACAGAACTTACAAAAGCTACAACACTGAAGATTAACCCTCCGATGGCATCAATGTCTCCAGCGATCGGAATGTACACACCTTCGGTATCCGACTTTGCGTCCTCCACTGCATCCGAGCAAACCGCAGATGCGATAATAATCAAGCTTCCGAGTCGGCCTAGAGCAAGGGAAGGTCGGCCGTTGGAGAGATTCATATGTCCTTATTGCTCCACTGCTCAGGTCATCACTTCAGAGCGTAGATGGAAGTAAGTAAACTCAGGCACCTACCGTCGATTACTTGGCTTACATGTGCGCCCAAGAAAGCATGTCCTGTCCGATCTCCAACCCTACAGCTGTACTTATCCAGATTGCCAACTGCACGAATACTTCTTTGATAATATTGATGACTGGTTCCATCACGAATCCCGGACCCATCGCATGGAATGGTTTTGCAACACAGAGTCTCATCAGTCTTTTGTCGAGAGGGAAGACTTCCTGGATCATATGTGCACAGTTCATTTCGAGCCTCTCGAGGAGACAAAGCTTATGAGCTTGCATCGCGGATTACAGCGCCCGTCCAATGCTTCTTCGGGGACTTGCACGCTATGTGGTCGGCATGCAAACAAACTGAAGTCTCATCTCGCACGACACCTTGAGCAACTCGCATTATTTGCGATACCTCAAACGGACTATATGGCTGCTTTAGAAGAGAATGATACGTCGTCCAACGCTGCACGACAAGGTGTACCGGCACGGTCCAGCTTAGGCTCGACAAGGATAGCTTCAGACCCTTCGGGTTATGAGTCAGACTCGAAAGGCTCAGATGATAGCCTTGGTAATCTTAGTCATACAATGCGTTCTTCGAGGGCCGCAGTGGATGACCAACATATCGGAGAAAACGAGGGAACGGATTTCTTTTCGAGCGAAGATGACCTGGAGGAAGTAGATACTTCATGGGATCAGATCACCTCAAAATTCAAGGATGCCAGGGTCGGGGTGTACAACCAGCAGGAAGCGGCCGAGTACCAGCCAGTGATCCCGAGTATATTCACCGACGGAGAAGTCATGGATGTAATACCGAGCAGTCCGCAATTCTCATTCGTTTCATCGATTGAACTGCAGGCAAGGCCACGGTCACGGTCACGATCACGATCACGATCACGATCACGATCACGGTCACGGTCACCACCCTTGGAACGGTCACGATCACTGTCACGGTCACGAACACGAACACGGCCACGGTCACCACCCTTGGAACGGCAAGATACTTTTAGCGAAGTCCATCCATCTTTGGGTAGGAATGACATGTGGCCTGACCCTGACGTTCCGAACGTAGAACCTCGCACACCAACGAGGTTTCATCCTCGTCCTACTCCGCCTCTTCAGGGGCGCGCTCGCCGTATAACGTCGAGTCTCTTCGCACCCTTCCGTAGCCAAAAGGAGGATCAACATAGTACTACCCATTCTCCAACAGAATCGATTATCGCACGTACAGAGCCTGAAGCTTCTGTTCCGCTCAGCCAGCAGCTAGGCATACATTCAGCTAGGAGCGCTAAAAAGGGCGCCACCGCTGAAGAGAAGCAAACATTGCGACAGAGGTTCTCCAAAGCGATTGGAATTGGAAATAAACCTCCTGAAATCTACCCTGCTGTTGCATACCGTTATGAATCGAGCTCAGAAAGTGTTGCACCAAGGGAGGAGAGAAGAAGAAGAGTCGGAGTTGCAACACCAAGACCGCCTGACAATACACGCAACGGGTCCCCTGCTGGTGAGACATCTTTTGAGTTAGAGGGACCACCGGTGGAGTTAGAGTAAAGACATAGTAAAGAGAGATTCATTATGCTTCGAAAGTATGGACGTCGTCCTGTCGTCCCTCTTCCTATAATCCTGAGCGATACCATTATTTGTGTGAATGCAAGATATAAGCTAAGCAGGAGGGGCGTGTGACTTGACGTGCTTGATACATCTCATGCAAGACGGGTGTCTGTATACTTCTAGATATGTGAAAGTCGATGTATTGAGAATTCTACAGTAGTATACAAAGCAGCTCCTCAGCTACATCCAAATCTACACCCCACCCTGCTGCGAAACAACACCCTTACACCTCCCACAAATCTCCTCCTTCTCCTCTTTAACAAAGCGCCAACACCTCGGACACTTCTGCCCACTAGGCGGATGTACTAGCACCTTCGCTTTGCCCAACACCCCCGTGACGCTCGAAAGCGTTTCCTCCTCCCACCACTGCGACCGCTGCTTCATCGTATCCGCATCCTCCGCCGTGAACACGTTGTCCGCAAAAAACGACCCTGTCGGTGTCCAAAATCTGAGATCGCTGATAACAAAGAGGCCAGCGAGTTGGCTTTCGAGTTGCGCTAGATCGAGAAATGTAGGCTGCATGCAAGCAGAGAGTTCCAGGTAGAAGTTCTCGGGGTTGGTCGACTCTGGTAGGTAAACCGTCGCTGCGCTCTCGAGACTTGAACCAATCTTCTTTTCAGCACGGAGACGCTCTTGCGCGATCTTGATGGCTGCGCCTAGTGTACTAGTTGTCTCGCTCATAGCCTCTAGACTAGCAGATTCAGACGCCGCGAGCGCGGGAAGAGGCGACCAAACCGCGCGTGCAGGATGAGCACTCTTCTCCTTGAGCTCAGCAGGAACATGATCCCAGACTTCCTCAACGAGCAGCGGACAGACTGGAGCAAGCATCTGCAATAGCTCATAGAAAATGAGACCCAAAACGCGCTGAAGTGTCTCGCAGTCCTTTGTGTCGCCAGTGTACACACGATCTTTGAGCGTTTCGAAGTAGAAAGCGCTCAAGTCCATGGAGATGTATTTATTGATCGCGTTGACGCCTTTGAAGAACTCGTATTTGCCAAAGTGGTTGTGTACTTCAGCGCTGACCTGCACCAGTCGGTGGACAGCGAGTCGGTCAGTGAGTTCGCTGAACTCGGCGATGGTGGGTGTAAGTTCGTTGAAAGAGGTGAAGGGTGGTGGGCACGATGGAAGCGAGAAGATGCCTAGCAGCCATTTGAAGGTGACGCGGTACTTATGGAGAGCTTGGTTTACAGACATTAGGACGGGCTGCCCGATTGTGACGTCGCGTGTGTAGTCGCTGCTCGCGGCCCAGAGGCGGAGAGCATCGGCGCCCATGGCATCGTATGTTGGCGTGTGCTTAGTTGCTGGGTCTTGCTTGACGCCTTTCTGCTTCTTTCGTTTGACGGGTGGGAGAAGTTCGCCCGACATAATTTGAGATGGTGAGATAACGTTGCCGAGAGATTTGCTCATCTTGCGGCCGTCGGAGTCGAGCGTAAAGCCATGGGTGATCAGAGTCTTGTATGGTGCTTTGACGGTCTCTGTAGAGTAAGACTGGGTTGCGACGTGGGTAAGGAGTGATGACTGGAACCAGCCGCGGTGTTGGTCAGTGCCTTCAAGGTATACATCGGCAACAGGCTTGTCTTTTTGCTGCGGAAGAAGCTTCCAACTGGTACCACTATCGAACCAGACGTCCATGGTATCTCTACCGCGTACGTAGGTTCCGGTGAGATGCTTCGGCTTCCAAGCTGGATCGTCCTGCGCATCTGTCCACCAGGCATTGATACCACGTTCTTTGATCACCTCGATGATATGGTCGATGGTCTCAG